GATTTCTGGGTTTCCATCCAGTTACTTTGTGTTTAAATCATAATGCCAGGTTTTTTTTTTCTTTGGATTTATAAATAGGAAACTTTGGCCTCTGATCCAAGCATTTTTTACCATAACGGCTTCATAACTAAGCTGATCACTGCAGCCTTTGGGGATCAGAAAAGAATAATTTCATCCTTTAGATATCCTGAGCTGCCTGCAGAACATGAATTATTAACTTTGAAGCTTCTCACAGTTTTATGTATTGCTTTTTTTCCCTTATCTTTTAGTCCCTAGTGGAAAAAAAATGATATTCAAGTTAAACTGAAAATAAATGTTATTATTCTAAGATTGTTAATTTGTAAATAAGTTTTTTTTTTTTTTTAATTAAGCTGGAGTTCCTAAATTTGGTGTGTCAGAACTAATGTTTTCCAAACTAGTTTATCTAATTGCGACGTTCAACATGTTGGTGAAGAATCTCAGTCATCCGAATCATAGTCAGTCCAAAAAATGGTAAAAACAATCCACTTGACTTTGTTTCCAACTTTGAAGACATTTCGCTTCCCATCCAGGAAGATTTTTCAATTCAACATTTTGAATTAACCTTTTTTAACAGGAATCACAGAGCTTTCCTTAACATACTTTTGCTCTATATATTTTTGTTTATCTCTCTATAGATAGAAATAACAAAACAAATATTTAGGTTGTTTTATTTATAAGTTGCACATTCATTCCTTCTTGGATTGGAGTTGAAGACTTCGAGTGGAAACGGAAAGGAGCAGGAACGCTTTTATATAACAAAAACTTTCTCTGTTTACTGCCTGTGCTTGACAACACTGCAAAGATGATCTCAAAATGAGTAAAAATGTCTCAAATTAAGGGTATTTACCCTTAATTTGAGCAGGTAAATAAGTTGATTTGCCAATGGAATTAGTATTTTTACTCTTAAAATAAGGTTCTAGATAAAATGCACTTGAAATAAGACAATGCAATTGTTTTTTTCTTATTTTAAGTGTAAATTGTCTTGTTCTGTTGACAAAGTGTCTCACTTAAATCCTTAATTCAAGAAAAAATGCCCTTATTTTAAGAAGAAATGACTTCTTTAGATTTTATTTTTTTTGCAGTGAAGAGTTTAATGAAATGAACCAATCAGCTCCCTTAAAAAAGCCTGATAAATTATATCAGTTTGATTTTAAATCCACCACGCTTTGGCTGCATGTGTTTCACACACTGTCAGGGTTCACTGGCTCTGAACTTCTCCTCACATCTCCTCTGAGTGAAACCAGAGAAGGAAATGTTTGTTTCACATTACTCTGCATGCACATTAAATAGAAAATCCCCATTAAAAACTGGATGAGCTGCGCTCAGCTTCAGCGCTATGACATCAGTGGGATTTCATCCACGGCAACAGGTGGTATCTCATGAACACTGTCTGTACGAAATTTAGAAACCCATCTGCCTCTTCCAGCTTTGGGCTTATCCACTCTAAACCCCTGGTAACCTGCAGACACCTGCCACAGGCCACTGAAGCCACCAGGTGGGCTAATGAAACATTTATAGCAGCTTCTGCTGTTATGTGACTCCGTTATTCTTGCATTTAATGTCAGTGTGGAGACGTACCAAAAAAGCAGTAGATGAGGCCGAATGAAAGGCAAACCGAGCACACAACAGACGGGATGACTTCGTATTGAACATTGTTCTTCAGAGCACAGAGATCCGCTTCAGAGAGGTTAGCTCCGGGTTCCTCTGTGACATAGAGGGAAGACACAGCCATCATCGGGGGGGTTTGCTTCTGTGCTGCACTCCTGCTTTGAACATGAATTTGCTTTGTTCATTGAAGGAGGGAAGCTGGAGCGTTCTGGATGAACAGAGGAAGCTCCAGAGTCATTCAACTGTTTCCTGATGTGCACCTGCAAAACCAAAGAGACGCTTTTTTAGCTTTTTATCACGACTGTAAGGAGGAAAACTCAAAAATACATTTCTTGGATTGTTTTTAAACTTCCTGCATTGAAAAAAACTGAAAAACTCTGTTAGTGAGCATGAAACTGCTGAGGAGGAATTAAATCCTGGCATTGCCTTTTCCCATGTCCGAATGGAGCATTCCGGAAAGCAAAACTCAGCTTCCCTTCCAAGTTTGTCTGTTTTGTTCAAGAAGCGGATGCAGCTGAGGAAACGACCTGCTGGCTTCACGCCGCCATTTTCCCGATGCATTGTTCTAAGCAGATGGTTTGGTGCTCTGCTTGCTGAACAATGTGAAGGAAACAAACACCTACACGGCAATAAAAGTAACAGGATAGACATTCTCCCTACATAACAGTAACGACCTTCAGTAGAAAAGCTCTTTTACTCATTCTGCAAATGCATTCAGAAATGCTGTACCGGAATTAATTCAGTGTTAAATAAATAAAACTAAATAAAATAAGAGTGAACTGCTGAAGCACTCGGCCTCTTCTTTTTATCACTTCATTGCAAAAAATGTCAATCTCAATAAGTCATTTTTTCTTAAAATGCTTTTTGTCTTGAATTGAAGAAGTAAGTGAGATACTTTGCCAATCAAACAAGATAATTTACATTTAATGGAAAGAAAAAGAAGAAAAACTATTGCATTATATCTAATTATCTAATTTTCAGAGTAAAAATGTTAATTACATTTGCTAATGATCTCTTTTACCTGCTCAAATTAGGGCTAAATACATTTAATTTCAGACATTTTTACTTATTTTCTTGATTGTTTTTGTAGTGTTCAGGCTACCTTCTCATATTTAAAAAAACTTTTTAGACATTTAATTCATGTGCAGCTGATAGCATGACTCTACACTGCAAAAACTATCTAGAAATAAGTCAAGATTTCTTAAATTAAGTTTATTTACCCGCAATTTGAGTAGATAAATAAGATGATTTGCCAATGGAATGAAATTTTCTACTCCAAAAATAAGATAATTAGATCATATCCACTTATAATGAGACAATGCAATTGTTTTTTTTTTTTGTTTTTTTAAATATAAATTGTTCCATTGGCAAAGTTTCACACTTACCTCCTCAATTCAAGAAAAAAAACACTTATTTTAAGAAAAAAAATGACTTATTGAGATTACATTATTTTCCAGTGTAGCTGCAGTGAGCATTAGCTTTCTGTAAAGACAAATTAAGCTGTTAAGGCCGATCCTGCAGTCAGCAAATGGAATTAGAGGAGCTTTAGCAGGTGAGTCATTCTCAGATTAGATTAAAGCACCAGAACACTTTCAGATGGAGACATTTTCTCTCTTTAAGACTTAAACATTAAAGGATATCAACAAGAATGGTCATTTTAAATGTCTTTGTAAAATATACTTTAAAAAGTTCATGCAGAAACACCAACAACAAGCAACAGGTGAATATTTTGCGAATATGCAAATAGAAATATATTTTCATGGCCTACCTGCAATGATTCACATCCTGATGGATTAACTGCGGAAACATCACAGAGAAACTAGGATCCTATTCCTGTTACCAGGGAGCGAGCCGTCAGGAGTTGACTGGCTGGTTTCCTGCTGAGAGCTGAGTGAGACTCAGCGTCCAGCCGGTAAACAGCTGCTGCCTGAGAGGGAGGCCATCTGCCCCCAGCGTTAGAGTGACGCTGCCTCCAAGGCCAAGTGAGGGAGTTCAACCAATAACCCTGCAGAAGCTCTAACCTTCTCTTTATTACCTGGAATTCACCCAATAAGCCTTTTTAATCAAATAAATAAATCAGGTTTAAACCTGGGATTTGAATCTGATTAAATCATTTTAATACAAGAAAACATATACAGGAAAAAACATTCAATAGGTTACACTTTGATTGTTTGGGTTGTTATTATAAAAACAGAGAACAGATTACACTCAGAATGAACTAATAATATCATGTGCATTTCCATCGACAATGAGACAAATACTAAGAAATTCAAAAAGTAAAAAAAAACTACAACAAAAAAGCTTTTTACAAACATGATAATAATCTTTATATAGTATATGTGCCTTTGGATATTAGCATCCTGTTTACATAGAGTCATGGTTTTGGTTCTGTTGTCCTTTACTTTGCTCCATGTTTCCTAGTTTTATTGGTTTAGTTCCTATTTTGTTGTAGTTTCTAGATTTATGTTAGTTCTCAGGTTTTTCTGTAGTTTTCCCCTGTTGCCCTCTTGTGTGTGTTCCTTTCCCCTTGCCTCCCTCGTTGTCTCCTCTCACACCTGCTCCTCATCAGCTCGTTAGCCCTGCCATTGTCTCGGTCAGCTATATATTTTCTCCCTCTGGTGTCACTCCATGTTGTCGCTGTTCTCTGCTCACCTCGTCTCTCCCTGGCTCCTTGTGTTTTCCTCTGATGTCTCCATGGTTCTGGTCTGTGTCACATTTTTAATTAATTTTTTGGATTTTGTTATTATTGTTGGCATTAAAACTACAAGAAATCACCTCAGCCTCTCTGCCTCTGCATTTGGGTCCCTTAAACCAGTATAAAAGTATATATATATATATATATATATATGTATGTATGTATGTATGTATGTATATAATTTATCGACGATCAGAGTCTGAGTGATGTTTTATTTTGAAAAATATAAAAAAATTGCAGTATTCTCTCCCAATTACATCAATCGGTGCATCTGTGCCACTTGACACAGGTTAATTCAGTTCAAGACGCTGAGATACGCTGCGTTGACCTGCTCTGTCCTTATAATGGTTTCTGTGAGGCTCAAAGCGGATCACTACTTTATCCATTTTCTGTCCTCCTAAACTCCTATCATGGGGAACTTTTCAATTTTTTTTTTATTCAATGTTTTTGCATCAGTCTGTCCCTCCTGGTAAATACATGATGTGCGAGTTTCCTGTGCTATTAACAGATTTTATTTTGTATTTCCCCCAAAGCAGATGTGTTTCTGTCAGACCCATGAAATTGCTGCTGAATTGCTGCGTAGTCTGACTAAAATAGACCTGGGCTCTATCTCAGTCGGAGCAACGCTGCCTCTTTGTCTAAAATCGCGTCATCCCTATTGACTTTCAATAAGCACTAATCGCCATGACCCCGTCCGACACGATTTTCCGTCGAATCGGACCAAAATCTAATTCGGTGTTTTCTGGTTTTTAGATTATTCTTTCTGCATTGTTTGATGTTTAGTTGTTATTCCGATCAAACCTCACAACAAATGAATGGATAGTTATGGGGTGTTGGAAAAAATTTATTTGGCAATACATCGGTGCGCAGAAACTGCCCTCCAAACAGACAAAAGCCTAATGGCTCCACCTAGAGGGAAAAGCAGATCCAGCACCCAACACTGACCCAAGTATAATGAGAATCATCCTATTGCAACATCCATGCCAACACTCACCCCTAGTTATGACTGTATGCAGGAAGAAAAGTTCATCCCAGTCACTGCTGTAAAAATAATAACCATGTAGATCAGGCATCCCCAAAGTCCGTCCTGAAGGGCCGCTGTCCTGCAGATTTTAGAGGTTTCCCGGCTCCAGCACAGCTGATTAACATCGATAGCTGATTAACAGGCTTTAGCTGAACTGCAATCATCAGAATCAGTTATGCTAAAGCAGGGAAACCTCTAAAACCTGCAGGACAGCGGCCCTCCAGGACCCGACTTTGGGGATGTCTGATGTAGATGTTAATTCAGTTTGTGGCAGTTTAAAGCCCTCATCTACCCTCAGGGAGCTAAAATGTGGTTCACAAATACTGTTCCACTTTTTATTTTACAGCTACTACAAAACCAACATCTCAGCACTGCAGCTGCAAGCAATAAAACAAGTTAAAGTTAGAATTTAGTTGGAAATGCCACAGTGACAAAATAGCGCGGTGCTGTTGATGCTGTGCAGAACCGTCTGAGGTCCGAACATGGCTCAAGATCTCTGGATTTAGAAAGTTCTTTTATCTTTAACTGCTTTATTTATAGTATGGAAATAAAGAACCCCACCATGAACAACATATTCCAGACAATCTAACTTTTATGGCTTGGTCACAATGAATGATGTCCACTTTAAATTACAATAATAAGGCCACAGAGACAAATGTTTTAAAAACTCTTTTTTAGGTCTGTATGTCTTTGTTGTGCTTTGCCTCTCTCTCCACCCCTCTGTGGCTCACATGGTCTTTGAAGTCCTTTATACTGTATTTAACCCATCTATGAGGATCTATATCAAATCAGGCCTTTAAACATTGTCTGTCCTCAGATAGCTCAGATGGGCTCTGTCTTCAGCCTCTTGACTGTAGAAGCTGTGAGTGAAATTAACCTTGATTACTACCTGAGCTCATTAATGTGGAGCAAACAGTAGAAAACTGAGAAACTTTGGACCAAAATCAGGAAAGGGAGACAAAAGATCCAACGGGTTTCTGGTTCAAGCTGTGTTTCTGTTTTCACAGGCCTCAGGGAGGCAGGTTTGTTCTCTTTCTTCATATAGCTTCATGTCAGGTCTAAGCATCTAAAACATCATACATACAGGGAAAGAAAGAAGGCACAGAGACAATTAATTTAGTTTTACTCGCGAGGAGAGTAGGAAGAGACTGCGGAGTTTACAAATCTCCTACCCACTCTGCCAGTCTTCAGCTTTCTCCTCGCTATTTATTAAAGTCAGAGGGGGGGTCCCTAGTTACACAAGCTGAGTTTACACTAAAGGAATAGGAAACAAGAAATACAATTCAGTTTGCAGCCTCAGTGAACAGGTCAATTTGGATTTAAATGTCTTGCGGTCAAATGATCCGAGAACCTCCTGGTTTTGTTAAGCTTGAGCAATACTTCCTGAGAGTTGACCTGTACTGCTTGTGCAACACCTCTCTGGAACAGTAATATGTCACACATTATACATCATAAAAAATATTAAGTATCCTATACATAATTATTCCAACACTTCACAATCACACCTTTTATAAATATGTAATATTAAATAATTTTTATTGAAGTCAATTTTAAAGAATTCAAAGGCACAAAAGTTCTTTAATCATCGACTAATGAAACATCTGTAGAATATGAAAGTCTGGCTAGGCATGAGAAAAATAAGTCATATTTTCATCTGGAGATGAAGCTTCAAGGTTCATCAAAGAAAATAAGAGACAATGAAAAATATCAGAGATGTTAAAGGAATAGTACACCCAAAACATGATTAGCCTTCATTTTCTACTCACCCCCATGCTGAACAACACTCTGGAGTACTTTTTTGATATCTCAAATGCATCTGGAGATCTGGGAGGCTTCTTGCTGTCTGCTGACATTCAAATAATGGAGGTCTATGGCGCCCGAGACAGAAAGGTCCATAAAAGTCCACAAAAAACGTGTCAATATTCCTCCATACTGCTCGTCCAATGTATTCCAAGTGTCCTGAGTGGGTAGCATCCAGAATTTACTCGAAACGAAGTCATTTAGAATGTTTTTAGAGCATAAACAGTAGTGTATAGGATTTCCTGAAAGCGCGCACATGCACGATCCCGACGCTACGGAAGCCGGCAGACCAAACCAGCGCATTCAGCTCGGCAAAGAACTCATGCTCTTCCTCAACACTGAAGTCCTCAGACATTTTTCTTTCGTTGTTTCTTTCTTTGCACAGGTAAACAGCACATTTCTTCTTCTACACTTGCATTATTGGCAGAGCAGACGCTGAATGCGCACTTTCATCTGGTTTGGTGTGCCGGCTTCCGTAGCGTCGTGATCGCGCATGTGCGCGCTTTCAGGAAATCCTATACACTACTGTTTATGCTCTAAAAACATTCTAAATGACTTCGTTTCGAGTAAATTCTGGATGCTACTCACTCAGGACACTTGGAATACATTGGAAGAGCAGTATGGAGGAATATTGACATGTTTTTTGTGGACTTTTATGGACCTTTCTGCCTCGGGCGCCATAGACCTCCATTATTTGAATGTCAGCAGACAGCAAGAAGCCTCCCAGATCTCCAGATGCATTTGAGATATCAAAAAAGTACTCCAGAGTGTTGTTCAGCATGGGGGTGAGTAGAAAATGAAGGCTAATCATGTTTTGGGTGTACTATTCCTTTAAGTTTCTGATTAAAGCTGAATTTTATAAGGATGAGTTGGAGAGATGTAAACTAAACTAAACCAACAATATCTCCTGATGAATAAAGCCAAACATCGTAGCTCTGCACACAAAGTACTTTGTAAGTCCCTTTGGATAAAAGCGTCTGCTAAATACATAAACATGAAAATTGGTCAAACATGTCCTCATGTCTCTGTCATTAGTTATAAAGCTATATAACATGGTGGTTTACTGGTTTTTATAGGATGCCTTCTGTTTCCTGAATATTTTCTACTGGTTACCATCTGGGTTTAATGGCAGCTGCTGTCTGTCCCACTCGTTGTCCTCCTGGTTGGACACAGTTTGGCTCTGGTTGCTTCCTTTACTACCAGTCCAGGACCTGGAATGATGCAGAGGTACTGAACACATTCCCAACCGCACTGAACGACAGCGATTGCTTTAGTCTTTATTGACGGAGAGAAGCTGTTTGGATGACTTGCAATCAGTGACCAATAGAGGGCGCTAGGGTGCTGCCCCACCCATACAATGACCCTAATTAAGACAT